CCAGTCTACAGCATTCCCTGCAGGTACAAGGGTATGGTCAGCAATAAGCCAGCGAAACATAAATAAGTATTGGAGGTTCCACAGCTCCGCTGGCTTCAATATCTGGATAAGCCAGTGAAGGAACAGCCAAACATTGACACTGTGCACAATGTATTTATGCCACAGGGCCTGACATTCAACTCATCAGCTCCAACCAACAAAGGAGTGTCCACTCCAGCCTCCCAAGACTTTGACACAGAAGAGGCCTCAAGTGGATCAAAACAAGATTGGCAACTCATGGCTATACTCCAGCAGGCAACATTGGCAATTCAACAAAGCCAAACTGAAGCAACTGCAATGCTGTGTGGAAGGATATCAAAGGAGGCAATTAGTTGTTGGAAGCAACCTCTGACAATAGTACCATAGTACATGGTACCTTTGCCCAGAAGTGAGCCAGGTCAATTCGTTTCAGTTTGAATTTTCTTTTCCTGCATCTAGCTAGCTTCTAGGGGCAACTGCTTCTAGCTAGCTAAGCACAAGTTAAGCACTAGCTAAGCACTACTAGAGGTTTCTGCTGCTAGCTAGCTAATGGGTGTATCTGCTTCTACACTGAAACCTTTCTGCCGAGGTTCCACAGCTCCACTGGTTTATTAATGAGTTGTTTGGTCTTCTTCCCCTAACACAAACACATTTGTTCTATTTATATACCCCTAATTACAACTGTTTAAGTACCAACTCTCCAGCAATTGCTGGGTTTCAGGTCAAGAACACCATGTCTTGAGTTCAAATCGGGCCTTTGCCGAACAGTTGGTTTTGCTTTTTTTTAAAACAAAAAATGACATGGATGCTGCCATAGTGGCTCGACATCTCACGTTGCCATGCTCATGCTCAGGTTGGGTCCTTCCGGCGTGGCGTAGAACCTACACACAGGCACGGTCCGCAAATGAACAGCATGCATGCCATTATTAGTTCGGAGTTCTCTTGAACCTTTGAGAGTGTTGGGGACAGTTTTACGGGGCTGATCTCTACACCTTCGCTGAATGAAAGTGGCGTGCATGCATGCATGTATGTATGTCCGTTTGCGTTCTCATCGTCGTCTCATCAAAAGTCTTCGTGCAATGCATTGTTAGCCGTTGGCAATGGTGCTCGAGTCTCATCAACAACAGGTACGGTCCACGAGTCGAGTCTTCGCATGCACGCATGTCATTAGTTGACGGTGGTTCTCGTGCTCGAGTCTCATCGAAACATCTTCTCTCGTGCAAGTTTCGAAAACGGCTGCTCACAAACCGTCCTGCCTTCTTCTCCTTTTATTTAGGATTGCATCTTCAAGTCTCCTCGTCGATGTCATTTCCTTGGGTGGTGGTCGGCTGTGGTCCTTTGCTCTCGAACTCGTTTCACGTCCTCGTGCTGCACCTGGATCCTTCTTGATATTTTTCGAGTCAAGTCTGCTTGATTGAGCCTGAAATCTATTTGGATCTCCACGTATACCCCGGACCAAGTCGCATCTTCCCATCTTCTTTGTTCTTGGTCGGGATCATGTCACTGGTTGTTCCCTGCTCAAGAAAAGGTCGCTGGTTTGACTGTGCTTCCTGTTTGGTTCTCTGTTGGCTGGTTCCTTCTCCCCGTACCGTCACAGTGACCTGCCCCATTTCCTATGGCTGGTTGTGGCGTCGCTCCTGTTCATTTTTAGATAGTTAAGTCTCACACTTCACACTTCTTCACTCCTCTCTTTGACCGGGCTCTGTTGTTTCTGAGATGAGGAAGTCTTCCAAACCCCAATGCTTTCCTCCCTTTGTCGTCAATGATGCCCGTTGGTTGCACGCCTTGGCTGCCGTATGTTGGTTTTGATCGTTCGGGCTCAGTTTCTCTCCGTACTCTCGGCATGGTGCCATCGCCGCCGAGGTCTGAACGTCTGAACGTCTGAACGTCTGATACGGTACAGTACAGTACACCGTAGATATGCAAGGAACGGATCGATCAATTGCCTTTCAATTCAAGCCAGCTAAGCCTCTGATCTGATGTCAGTCACGTCTCAATTGTCAGGGACAGGTCTTCCTTTGCTACCGCCAGTATGCTGGGTTTTTACATACATGTAGGTATTGTCAGCCCAATCACTGATTTCCGGCAACGCGATACATATGTACATCTACTGGTGGTTCTCACTGTGGCAAGATGCTCTTGGCTACATGTATCACATGCTTCCATATTGTACGGCATCGTAGCTTCCTTGCCTATGACAGGCCGGTAGATAGAGCCCAAAGACTACAACCATGTTTTCAGCTGACCCACTCCGTCTTGTCATTTATTTCTGTTTGGACTCCAAAGGTGTGTGGGTGGAGGCAACTCCAGGGTACCGGTATGCATACATCATGACAAAGGATACTGGTACTTGAATTGGATGCCGTAACTAAATCGCACCGGTACTTCATAGGGTCTACATACTGTGCATGTACCATACCGTATCGCTGCGACAACTTCCGCATTGACATCGGCCGATTGCTTAGCTTTAGGATCCAACCATTCCGTGTGATGGGCTCACGACTTGGATACTGGTCCTTTCAATGGCTCATTCATAAGGTTTCTCTCCGTGTTAGAGAGATCCACATGATAGATCACTGTTCCGGTAGCATTCTTTTGAAATTTCTAGATAACCGTCACTGGTACTGAACCAGTATGGTCGCGCACGGAAAAACATGTGCGTTGACTCCCCCAATCCAGCCGAACCAATGCCATCAAATGCTTGAAACGTTGATGTCCTCTCAACTTCGATTGCATCCAACTGCATGATCTCATAAAATCTTTCAAGTTAGTTTGTTGAAACAACTCTGCCTTCCACCATGCTGTTCCGATCCTGCGCTCTTGCTCTGCTACCGGCAGTTGCCTTCTACGGTCCTGTCCAGGCCCAAGACCTTCGAACTTGCAATGCCAATCCACAATGCGCCGCTCTCGGGTTGGCCGACGACTGCTGCCCCACCAATTTGGCTGGTATTTTCCTAGATTGCTGTGATAACAAGGAATCCGCGTGCGATGCAAATAGCGCCTGTGTGGGATTAACTGGTACGTATCTATGAGGCACAAGAACCCTTACTCGTCTCTGGTCAATTCCTCACCAATCCTTTGTTTGGGACGGATTTTCGCAGGAGCTTGCTGTCCCACAGCTGATGGCACCTTTTTGTACTGCTGTCTCATGGATGGCGATGGAGGATATGAATATGAGTATACCTACTATGCCCATGCCAGAGGAACAGATGTTGGCAGGTAAGTGACGGAAATTGTGGATCAGGGCCGTCACAATGGCGGCATACACCTCACCATTCACTTTCCTGAATCTCCCAGCTACTGGCTGTCAACTGGCAGCGGGCGCAATGTTGGGGCCTATACTCATATTCGTCAAATCGAGTACACGCGCAACCCCGATGTTTTGTATGATCTTCTCTACCTTACTGGAAATGTCCCTGATGCGGGTGCCTATGTCACTGGTGACAAGAAGTTCTCTATGAAAATCTCGGATACAACGGCCCCTCCTTGTACACAGATCATTCTTCAGTTTGAGCACGTTCCCGTTTCGGAAAGTGCCCTCGTTAGCAAGCAACTCGACCCCGACCTCATTCAACCCTACCCCAAGAATCGCCACAGCCGTTACTTGGCCACCATCCCTGAAGACGGCAACCAGCAACACGTTGTGTTCGAGTTCTTGGACCGCCCCGACGACGCTGTGCCCGATGAGGATGTCAACGCTGTGGTCATTTTGTTTGCTCCCGGAACCAACACGGCAGACAAATTCACCTTTTACAATTTGGATTCCAACAACGAGTGCAGCAATGGTGGAGCTGCATGCCAGCCAGCTCCGGTCAATTCCTGCCCGGCAGTGTATTTGACCGTGGAAGGTCTTGAAGACAGCACCAAGAACGGTGGCAATAGAACGAGGAGCCGTCTCCTTCAACCTGAGGACTGCTCGGATTGCGCCAACCCTGCTTGTGTGGGAGAAGGCGACTGTGCCGTTGACAACAGCCATAGTCAACTGACCCATGATGCGGACTTTGATGAACCCGTAAACACGAACACAACCACGACAGAGGAAGAGATCACAACCACTGAAGAACCAGCCGCCACGGATGCTCCACCCACAACAGGAGGACAAGACACGACAACTCCCAGTGATGAAAACGAACCAGTTGACTCCGTGGTTGAAAACGGAACGAATGGGGAGCAAGCTTCGGCTGGAGCCTCCTTGTTTGGAGGTGTGGCCGTAACTGTTGGGGTTTTGGCCATGGGACTGGCTTGGCTTTGAACCAAATGATGAACTCTCACATGTTTGGACGTTGTATGAGTATCGATGTCTTATGTTCTAGCTTTAAACGAAAATGAACAGTTTTTCATATGGTTACTGGAGCATCAAGATTGACACCAAAGCGCCAATGGCAAAAGCCCAGACTATGCGTGAGAGAACTTCAGGATGGACTCTGGTTTCAGACATAGTATCTGATTGACCTGTCTTGATTGGGAGAGCAGATGCTGCGGTATGACCCGCATTTTCTTCTTCAGCAGCTTCTTGCAAGTCAAATTGCAATACTGCATTTGGCTCGTTTGCAGTTGAGCCGAAACAGGATCCGGCCGGGTTCAGCCGGAGGTAGTGCATTGCTCATAGCCAATACTGGAGGGAAAGGACGGGCCCCTTGCATAGAGTTGGGGGAAGCCACGGTTTGTCGCTGGTTTTTGGAGTTGGTGCTGCCGATGGAGACTTTGTGCCAGGGGTTCCGTTTCCGTTGAAGATGTGTGAGGTCATCGCAGGCGGTGCACAGCTTGGGGCTTCTGTTCAGGATTGAGTAGGAGATGAGCAGGGTGCAGAGCTTGGACTCACGAACGGAGGCGAAAGAAGGGCCGATAGTAGGACTCAAAGTTGTGGGAACTACTTCAGTTCCAGGAGATGAGCTTGGTGCCATGCTTTGGTCGGAGCTTGGGCTGGTTTAACTTGGGGATGTGGTGGGCAATCCAGTGATGGCACCTTGTAAGGTCTTGGCTTAGAGGAGGAGCTGGCTGGGGTAGGGAATGGTCCCTTCGGTTGGACTGGCCCTAGGGTCATGTGTGGGTGGAGCGCTGGGAGACGTTGTAGGGGTAGCCGTAGGACTTTTGGTTGAAGGTGCTGTAGTTTTGGAAGAGGGTCCTTTGCTTGGCCATGGGGCTTGTGAAGCAGTAGGGTATCTGGTATGAGCTGTTGCAGGGCAGGCAGAGGGTCTTGCGCTTGGCAAAAGAGTTGGCACGGTGACAGGAGCAAAGGCTTCACAAGAGCATTCAATGGTGGCATAGCCTGTTTGGGCATCGTTCCAATAAACAGAATCTTCGGCCATAATGCTTATGCTTTCTATATAATCAGAAACTGTTATGCTGACGAGAATGTGGGCAGTCTGTCTTGAGCTGTAGGGCATCCCAATAATTGTAGGGCTATGCAGTCCAATTTGTCAGAAAGGCTCATCTGCCGCTGTCGGGATAGTCAGCATTGTCGTGGTGTTGACAACCGCAGTTTCAACTTGGCGGTAGCAATCACGCGACCACATTCACATCAGATCTTCAACTGATAAAAAATGATGTCGTATCGATACCACGGAGGGAGTGGTGAGACGCCCTCGCATCGCCGAGAACGATCGAGGAATACAAGGATCCTTTTGGGAGAACCTGGATTTGCACCAAAAGAATCGATAGCACAACAATAAGAGCCTGCTTCCCCTTCCCCAATCCAATTCAAACGGGATGTGCAACATTTTCGGACAGCCGCCATTGGTTATGCTTCGTATTTGCAGGAAGTCTGTTGGCCACCACTGCAAATTGTATTGCATCAATCGTCCCAGCACATTAGCTTGGTGAGGAAAAGGCTCTTTTGGTCGGCCACGAGACGTCGCAATAGTTTGGTCGCCGAAGCTTCTGCTTCTCGGATTGAGGTGGTACTTGGTAGAACGGCATAGCTGGTCGTACAACGAGTGGTTAGTCAAGGACCTCTTCGCACCGTGATGGTGCTTGCACTGTCAGTTCGACTTACAATTCGTATCCACTGCCATTCATGGCAAGGAACAGTTCGGATCCATCCACAATGTAGCAGGGTAACGTTGTGCCCGTTGTAATAACGGAGCTCGCCGCCAATGCGACGGCAGGACAATGACGTTCCATCCCCGTCGTTACCATGCCATTATTACTACTGGGTTGATTGCTTTCTCGATTCAATAGTCGCCATCGTAACGTTTGGTACATTCTCCAAACTCTTCGTCTTGACCGCGCATCCACAAAGGGGAATTTGTTCAAGGTTGGCGAGAGACATTGCGCCAGCTTCTGGCTGCTGTTGGGTGCCTCGTCACGGATACTCTTTTGAAAATTGCCAATGGGAACCTCAAGTCGAAATAGAAAATGGAATACCGATGCAATGCCAAGATAGTGCTCCATTTGTAGCGTCTCGGATTGACGAATCGTCATTTGGATTTCAGGCACAAAAAAGTTGTCCTCTTTGGGTACCGGTAGCATCCTGTAGGCTAGAGGTTGTTGTTGATGATCGCCAAGGGAGACATCGACGTAGTCTTGGTCATTCCAGAAGTCCTCTGTCGTTGTTCTTGGCTGCGCCAGTTTATTAATATGTTGTTGCTGTTGCTGTTGCTGCTGCTGTTGCGAGGAAGCAGCCGAATATGGTGGTATCCCAAGGGCTTTTCGTATGTCCCCGGCCGCCGTTTGAAATAGCTGCAATTGCCGTGCGTTCCCTTGGTTACTGAGGAGAATCAGAGCCAGGTTGGAGGTGGAATCCAGACACTCCGCGTAGCAGAATAGGTAGTCTGTAGAAGAGAAGAAGGGCAGACAAAGGGGTATCCACAGTTCCTTTTCTTCCTTATTGTCGGAGACTTGCCTTTGTCGGGTACTGACAATTCTCAGTAGCACGTGCAGGTCAAAGACATGCAGCTGATATTGGGGTGCCGATGGTTGTATCAACGTGAGTAGCTTTTGTCCCACTGCGAGAATGGCAAATGCGGTAAAGTCGGTTTGAAGACCCACTGTTTGGAGAACGGCGGAGGCTCGGGATCGAATATTGTGTGACATGGGAAAGAGGGTTTCGACAGCACCCAGGCAATACGGCCCTGGAGAGTTGGTGTCGTTACTATCAAAGTCGTCGTGGAACAGTCCCGTAGCAATGGTAGATGTAAGGCTGCATGACGCGTTATCCGTGTCGTTGGTCTTCATAGTTGGCAGGATGGCTTCTCGCAGATCATAACTGGGATCTAGGTTGAATTGTTCTTGGATTCTCTCTGTCACTGCCGAGAGAATGAAACCCAGAATGTACTCTAGTTGCAACTGCAGAAACCACTCAGTAGCCTTATTAGCTGAGCCGTGTGTACCCTTATTCGAGTGGGAAATGCTACCCTTGGTCCTTCTGTTATTGGTAGAGTTACTACTAATAGCAAGCAGAACCAAAGACCCCATGGACATGAAAACGATCGATTTTGGCCGTGTCCCTCCAGTACTAATGGACCGAATGGATTGGCCTAAGCTGCTTTGGGCCGACGATCGCAGCGCCAAGACGAGGCCACACAAACGACTGATTTCTTCTTCTCTTCCTTGCGAATAGTAGATCGGCTTGCCAGCGTCACTCATCACCACAAAGTTGCACGCATCATCTTCCTCATCTTCTTCTCCTTTACATGCCGAAACAGACGGCCTCAGAGACACAGACATGGCTCATCGTCTATCTCAAGGACCAGCGTTGTGAGCAGTGTGTTTTGCTTGATGTTGGATACGTCTTAGGGTTACTCATAAAGCTTCATTAAGGTTCTAAGCCGTCAATTGGGTTCAGGCTACAGGTAGCTCCCAGGCGTGCAGGAATGATAGCCAAGGCGACCATTCGCGACCACCCTCGGAAATCTATTCACACTTCGCAACGCCTTGTTGGAGCACCTCGTGGCGTTGAACTTGCCCTCATGGGACAACGACGTAATAACACGGCAATAGCTGGGGAAGATGTCGAGTTCAGTATCGCACCTAAAGGCACCTTAGCGTTGGACGTTACCTTCCTGGACTGGTTGGAAGGGACTTTGCTGCTTGCGAATAAACCCGACCTGCTGCTTTTTGGCCTTTTCAGTTGCCATTAATGCAATTCAGGGGATCCACACATTCCGTTTCATTGACAAAAGCTAGCTCATTCATTCATTTGAAATTTCGAAAACAAACAAAGATGATGTCAACATTCCCTTGGACGGCCGCATGGCTCGTTCTTCTCCTTACCGCAACCACGACCTTGGCTGCGGAGACTGAAGAACAGCAAGCAGAAGAACAACAGCAGAATCTTCGAAGGGAGCAAGAAGTTACAATTGACGACCCGTTTTGGTTCGAAACCGAGCTCCCTGAAGATTATGATTATATTCTCCCCATGGGAACTGCGAATGAGATCCTGGGAGGAACCAGAGGTGAGCAAAATCCAGCACGATGTACTTTGTCTGTTTACGTCGTTTTGACTGATGCTAAGCTGCGCTTTGCTTTCGTTTTTCTTCTTGTTTTGGTATTTCCAGTGTCGGCGGGTGTGTATCCCTACTTTGTGTCTCTGGAATACAACGGTCAAATCTACTGCGGGGCAACACTTATATCACCAAACAGAGTCCTGTCGGCGGCGCATTGCTTTTTCACGCGTAGTGGAGCCATCTTTCTACCGACCAATATTCGGGTAGGACACGTTAGCACGACGGATGGTGAAACCGTGGCACCTTCTTGTGTCAAGATTCATCCACAGTACGGACAGGATCGTCAGGGTCTCTACAGCGATGTGGCTGTCCTCAAGCTTGCCACGCCCGTAACTACCGTCACGGAATTTTCCCAGCTCAATTCATTTGTTGGCTATCCCACGGACCAGGCTCAGGGTCTCACGGCCATTGGATTTGGCTTGACCAGCAACGGAGGTACGACGTCCAGTCATTTGCTCCAGACTAGTGAAGCCCATGACACCATTGCCAATTGCAAGGCCAACTGGAAGTGTGCCGATCAAAAGTATCATGTCTGTGCCAACGGCGTCAACTCGGGTACTAATGGTGTTTGCAATGGTACGTTACATGATTTGACTTTTTTTGTCAGGGCACTTCGTCTTGTCATCAACAATCATTGCACTCTTCTGACTCGACTCGACTCAATTGCTCTCTTCTCGTACTATTTTTGTGACCCAACAGGTGACAGCGGTGGGCCACTGTATGACGCTGCCAAAAAGCAAGTTGGTGTCACTTCCTTTGGTTCTTGTAAGTTGCTTGCTGGATCTGAAGATTACTCCGGTTCAAGAATATTGTTTATAAGGGTTTGCTCATGATTTTCGAACTCTTTGTTTTCCATGAATTGATTGATTGATTGATTGACAGCGGTGGGCTGCGGATCCTCGTATTCTGATGTCTTTGCGAATGTTGCTTCGTATTATGATTGGATTCAGGGGGAGATTGCGTCGAACCAGTGCAGTTCTGCGCACACAATGTTCTCGGGCACTCCCTGCAGCGGTGTGGCGGGTTTTTGTGCCGTGGGTCAGATGTACAGCCGAGTACGCAACTATTTGTTTGATTTTTGGGCGTAAACAAAAACTGTATGGTCCATCGAGCCATGCAAAGAAAGCAATTAAGAGTTCATCATGTAACGCGTACAGAGAAGCTTCCGTACAAGAACGAAGAGAGAGAGAGAGCTAAGGGCTGCAGACAAAACCGCAAAGAAAGGCATGTGGTTTGGGCAATCTAGAGTAAAAAATTTAGGCAATAGGCCTAAACAAAGTAAGAAAATTTACACGCGACACTTTTGAATATGTTTTGTTCGGACCTTCTAGTCTGTAAACGACGAACCGTGGTTGGACACCAACTTGATCTCTCGTTCCTGAACAAAATTGAGCTGATGCATTCCAAGCAATTGAAGTCTGTGACAAAGTTCTAGCTAGCTAGTACTGGTAGCTTCATGCTATAGACATTCAGGTGGATCGGGAGGCATGCTCAGATAAACTTTGCTTGCCGTGGTCAGCTGTCCAAGCTTCGTTGGGTTTCTCCTTTTTTCCAAACCCTATCAGGGTCCGCCTAGCTACCGGTAGCTGGTGTTGTGGGCACGGTAACTGTATGAGGCGCCTCGCAGAACTTGTGTGAAACATGACGTTTCTGGCCAGCCCCTCCATTCTTGCTCCTCTGCTGCTACCGGTATGGCAGGTAGGAGCGCTGAAGTGCTTGATATAAGTGAAGACATGAATGGATGTAGTATCTTCGTTTCAGACGCAGAGGTGATTGAGGCATGTCACGAACACATTGATAGCATCTGTGCACCAACCCAAATCCCCACAACACCACGCCTCGTCGTCCAACGGTACGCGATCATCGCCACCTTCAAACCAGTAGATATTTCCACGATGCTCTCCTTCCATCACCTCTTCTGTACTAGTATGCATATTTGCTCCACTTTCTCCTTCCACCTTGGGCAGGGACATATGTATTTGATCGGAATACTGATGACAATTATCTTGCTGCTGAAATGAGCCTACTAACTTTATTAGAAGTCAAAGACTTCCGGCGATGCATGGTGAGTCGAGTTTGTCATTGCTGTCTGGTTCTTGGATTTCCGAAACCGGAACGAAAGTGGATCCACGGATGAAGTCCCATTAGCGGTTCAACCGAAAAAAGCAAGGGGATGCAGCAAAACAGCGCGGAGAGCATTCCTCTTTTTCGAGCGCTCACCAAACACCTGATGACTCGCGGTGGAACTAAGCATACTAGAATGTCATGTACAGGTCTCGTAGTGCTGCTGTTGTCCAATTATTGGTTGGGCCAGTCAGTTCGCAATTGCTGCTTCGAGGAACCCCCATCCCATCCCGTCGTCTCTGCTGGTGACCTAATAGTACCGGTAGCTAGCTAGATTTCGCTCCCTCCTCAACTACTACGGTACAGTAATAAGTTTGAAAGTACGATGCAGTATTTTCAAGCCAAAAGCCAACAAAACAGAAACTACCAGGTAGACTAGTCTACCGGTACCATCCCAAAGCGTGATCAACAGCCTAGACTAGCTAGTGTCCTTGCTTCTTGCGTCTGGAGGATCCTCACTCAGGACGATCAGCCAACTTTGACTATCCAAAAGATATCCTTCGGTACCGGTAGTACTACGCTCCCTTCAGCCAATTTCAGCACGAGATCCCATGGTAGTATTCCTGCTCTGGTTTCTCTGCACTTTCTCATCAACCCAAAGCAAACTTCAAGTCCCCAAAAGAAGATCCGTGCAAATCAAATCGAATCAAATCAAGAAGCCCTTGCGCACGGTATCCTTTATGGCTTCCGGTTTTTAGTGCGCCAAAGATGCATGGCCATTGGGTGCCATGGATGGTGTATTGGTAGCGTCACTGGCTCAGCGATCGCTCAAAGGGATTTGGCCAATGACACGACCGGCCACACTTTACTCATATCAAACACCGCGACAAGTAGACTAGATCTAGTAAAGCAAAGCCAACCAACATCCTATGGTTTTTCCAAGACCGATGGATCCAAAAGATATCAAAGGTGGGGCATTTTGCATTTCGGTATCTTTTGGGACAAAATAGAGGAGGAGCTTCACAGGGGTGAGTTGGACATACTCATGGTGACGTTTCCTTCGCTGGGTGCGAAACATCACCCGCAGTACCGCTAATTCATAGATTGATAGAGTACACAGCACAGTAAACCAGCTCAGCGAGGAACTGCCCCTATAAGTGAAATACGGCTGAAATATCCTTGCTGGAACTTGGTGTTGAGCTGCCGGGCGAATGGCGAGGGTAAGTGGGAAACAAGTTCCTAAGAATCGAAGGAAGAGCAATGGGAAGTCAGTGGGTGATTAGAGGTGATTCTTTTCCCCCTCAACTGCACATTCCTAGCTTTCTGACCATTATGGTCGAAGCAATTAGCATGAGGAGAGCAAGGAATTAGAGAAAAGAGATATTCATTAAATGATATCTTAGGTTACTTCGTGACGGTGAAGCGTTGAAAAGAAAGCCACGTTACCACGTTGATTTTTAGGTAGAATTTTGAGCTGAATTTAGTAAGATTATGGGAAGAATGGAAGAATGCTATTTCACGGCGTTCTTAGAATCTGCTCTTTCAACGTTGAAAACCAGGAAACAAGAATTGACTTCTTGTTGAAGCGGAAGCATTCGGTGTCCAAAGAAGGGGAGATCAAGAACCTGCTTCCTTTTCGCCCATCCCTCATTGTGTGATTGGTGGTAATAAAGAGCGCGTCACGTCCACAGGCTGACGTATCTGATCTTTTGGTCCCATCTGTCCATTTTACAGAAAGTATCTCAAGAGTACTATGGTACTCAGAGTAGTCGTGTCTGAGGCTAGTTTTCTAAAAGGTCGAAGCTGCACTTGCGCTTCATGGAATCCCCGAATAGCTAAGAACTCAGGCCTGTGGATGCAAAGAGTTGCTTGGAAGGGGGATTGGGTTTTTTGGATTTGGGGGCGACCATAAAGATAGCTAAAGATTCAACGCATGGGATTACTACGTGTAGCTAGTACTAGTAGTCTCCGGGGAACCTGAACCTGGAGCATGAGCAGTTCCAAGAACTACTACAGTACTAGAACTGAGCAATAGACGTGCTGCATGGTAGCGCCCACATCCATTTAAAGTGTTGCAATCTGTTGGATTGGAGGCACCAAGCTGACTGGGATTGCAGAATGTCTTCTGATGCCAAGCAGTCTGCCAAGAAGGGTCTACTAACCGGCCAAAGTGCCATGTCTTCTTGGATGTTGTGGGTACAAGTAGCTGGTGCTACATGTATCAGCTCATGTAGCTAGAAGAGCTTTTAAGGGCTGGAGTGGGTAGAATCCTCGCTCCTCGCCACCAAAATCATAGCAATGGCACTTCCGGCACCACATCCGGCAACCTCTGGATCGAATCGAATCTTTGAATCTTTGTCTCCGAGCAGTAGACTACTGAATCTTAGCAGTATGAATTATCTTTGAAAGAGGGGGATATCTTGATCTCTTGTGCATCTGTCTACTAAAGCGCTCCGACTAGGTCATAATTGAAAGCCTTTATATGGTGAGGCTCGTATGAGGCTCAAGTGGTGGACTGCAATGTTCCGTCACCAAGAGCTGCAGCTGGTAGACTGGGGCTTCTCTTTCTGTTGGAGTGTATCGGCAGAGTAGAGTGATTGCTAGCTACTGTAGTAGTAGAGGACCACTCTACTATTTGTTTGGTTCGCCACGTACGTATTCAAAAGATTCCTATGTACTGTGTGTACCTAAAGATTCTCGTATGTAGAATTGTTATTGGTTCCTACAAGGATGGAAATCGAGAAGCACTGCGACGGCGGGACGGCCAATAGCTTTCTCACATCCTCCAAACGCAGCCAAAAGCACCAGTTCCTATCTCTCTCATTATCCACATTGCAAGCCATCCATTATCAAAACACAAAAAGGCAAGGAGCAACCTCCGATCCATCCTGTTGCTACAACGTAGTATCAAGCCAAGTCATCATCGCTTAGGTAGCTGGAGTTAGTTGAAAGGGGCACCGACAAGTCAATCTGCCCAATCTGCTTCTTCTGCCTTTCTTTGGTGATTTCCGTTCTATACTTCTATCTACCCTTCTACCACATTCTACCCATTAACCTGTATACCTTCTATACAGTACCGTACTTTTACACCATTATCTTCCACATCTACCCTTGCTACCCCTGCTACCCTTGATTATCTGTCCATTATCTCCCCATATACCCTTTCAAGATGTCCTCTGCTACCCCTGCTACCCCCACTCGCACAGTCTCCTCCAAGGCTTCCTCCTCCTCCAAGATGATGGCTGCTACTACTGCTGCCTCTGTCTCTCCCGGTCGTTTGACCCTTCACCAAGCCACCCGAAAGCAGATCGAAACGAGTTATCGCGCTCCTTCGTCTGCTTCGGGTCGATCTCCCGTGGCTCTTTCAGGGCTTTTGGGTCTTTCTGCCTGCAATTCGGGATTTCTCTCGAATCTCTTGGCGGAAGTGGCCAAGGCCAAGCAAGAGATTCTCCAAGCCAAAAACAAGCGAGCCTCTGCTGCTGTTGCTAGTGTCTCTCCTTCGGTCAAGAGACGACGCATCTCTCTCGAGAATACCAGTGGTGCAGCTGCTGCTTCTGTCAAACAGACCAACAAGCCATTGACCAAGAAGAACGTTCTTCAAGAACCCTGCAACATTCTCGATCTCTTGTGGGACGAATCCTGGTTGGCGCCTCCCGATTTTGCGGCCCTTTTGCCTCGTCCTGCCCTTCTTCCAAGACCCAACATTCCTGCTACCGTCAGTTTCGCCAATTTGGAAGACGAACAAGAGAAGGAGGTTTCTACGTCCACCAAGAAAATGGCTTCTGCTAAGGGCCAAGAAGACGACGTCGAAGACCAATTCGGTTGGTTTGTTGACATGGACGATGATGAAGCTCCTTTCTCTCTATCGAACAACTGCGATGACCCTCATCGCTGCTATCAAAGCCAAGCCAGCCCTTATACCTCCGCCGAGTCGCTTGCTTTCTCCGCCCCCATTGCCCCCAAGGCTTCCAATCAAGACGCCCAAGTCGAATGGGCCATGGCAGCCGATACTGTCGACGATGTCTTGGGTGGACTCTTCTAAAACACCCTTCCTTGCACAATCTCCATTGTGCTGCGCGCGCCACTTTCATCATGATCCATACAAATACATTTATTTTGGCTCCAGCCAACTATCTATTACGCACAAACTAACTCTAAGGAATGGACAGCACACAAGGGCTCGATTGATCGAGCCCTTGTTTGGTACCATTCCACCCCCGCAATTTACTTTAAATTACGAATCGCTATGCTACTGTCTATTCTCTGTTCAGTCCTTTAGCTTGCTACAATGCATAGCTGGATACAATCCTTGTAGCTCGTCCGTCCGCTCCAGAAACGAACCGCCAATCGAGGTATTCATAGATTGGTGTTGGATCCGCAACAGCTGGGTCATTTACGTTCCTGATGTTTGCCTTCTTTCGCTCAATGCAAGCGCACTGACCTTGCCAGCTAGCTCTAGCCTGGCTAGCTAGCTTCTTGACATGCAATCCGACCAAAGCAAAACCACCAATCCGAGTATAATTGTTTCGGTACCGGTACCACAACAGCCGGTCATTGCCTTCGGGGTGGATCCGGCTTTTTGCGTACTGATAGGCCTAGTAGGCAACCAAGACATTGCTGTCGATGGGTAGCTCCATGGGTAGCTACCTAACTGAGCTAGCTAGTAGAGCTACAGCCCAGCGCCTCTACAAGGAGCTTTCTCATCACAATCGATAGCTATTGATGGGGAAGCAAGACGAGACAAGTCTTTCGACCATCAGCAGCAAGGAAGAAGGAACAGGTAGTACCTAGTACTACAGTGTAGACTATTACATGTAGTAGCTTTTGTCGGCTCTGCAGTACTCATGTGAAGTTTTGGGAACTTCACAAAAGACGCACGAGGAACAGACTTGTCGCACCCGGCGTGCTGGACGAGTGGTTGGCAAAGGTCAAACGTCACAATCGACAGTCACAGATACTGGCTGGAGACTGTACAGGTTCGGATTGCAGTTCCAACTAAGTCCTCTGCGATCCCTTGAATGGAATCAGCTCATGACCAATCCATCCAGAAAGTGCCCCTCGAACTGACATCTTTCTGGCTTTGACGAATGGCTGGCACAGGTCATTCAGATGTCACAATCGACAGTCGCAGATACAGCATGGAGACAACGAAGACAGTTTAGATTGGGTAAGTTTAAGGTTAAAGTTTACGTTTACTTCACATTTTTGTATAGAGAAACGTTTTTACCGCAACTACCTTATTTCCAAAGTTGTCTTCGGCTTCATCGTCGTTCTTCACAACCCGTTCGGCTTGCAGTGTCAAACAAGGCCTGTGGGATCTTTTGCCAGACACCGGCATGCATAGCGTCAACTCTCTCCTCTAGCTCTCTTGACCAATCATTCCTGCAAATGTTCCCTTTCAACTTCCAGCCGACCTCTTTCTGGAGTTTCGGAAGTGAGGCCTGGAGCCTACAGGCCTGGGGCGCCAGCCTTGAGGCCCGTGAAAGACATTGCCCTCAACTACCAGCTAGCAAGCTGAGGGCCTTTTGAACTTTATCTTGTGTGTGTAGGCGTGTGTGTT